AACAACTTGAAGGTAATCAAAGTGTTCATATTTTAATATATTTTGAAATGTATATATTATGTCAATTTTATTTTATAAGATTGAAATATTAAATCATTTTAGATTAATATAAAATTTTGAATATATGATCTAAGAGTAAAGAACTTTTAATCTAAAGGTCGGCTCTCTCTCTATATATATATATATATATATATATATATATATATATATATATGAGGGGAGTTACGATATAACTTTTACTAAGTATTACACCGCTTAATAACTTTATATTAATTGTGAATTTTGTAAATCCAACCGTTAGATTGAAAGTTCATATCACTTTATATGTGTATATCAAATTTTGTTAAAATTGAACAACAACTTAAAGGTAATCAAAGTGTTCATATTTTAGTGTATTTTGAAATGAATATATTACGTCAATTTTATTTTATAAAAATAATCAAATCATCTTGGATTAATATAAAATTTTGTATATATGATCTAAGAGATATGAATTTTCAATCTAACGGTTGGATTTACAAAATTTAGATTTAATATAAAATTATTAAGCGGTATAATACTTAGTAAAAGTTACACCGGTGTGATTATAAACTCACTATATATATATAATTTTGTAAGAAAATTACATATCATTTTAAAAACTTAAAATATTATTACATAATGATTTTGAATTTAATAATGAAACAATAAACAATAATTTGATTATTTAAAGTATATATTTATTATTAAAAATAGATAAATACATCAAAACAATTAACAATGGTGTATATACTTAAAAAATAAAAAAATGAGATATAATTGAACCTAAATTTAAGAAATATTGTAAATGCAAGTTATCCTAATTAATTGTACTATGGTGTACATGCAAATGAAGGTGGTGAAAAGTGGAGTAAGTTAAAAAGGGTTTCCAAAGAATCTAAGACTGTAAGCATGCTGCTACAACGTACCAGTCTGTGCCTCTGGCTGATGCATCTTTTGATAGAGAGGATTGCAATTTGCAAAGGGAAAAGGTCAAAGTGAAAAACACTTAGCAAAGCTACTGCAAATATTCATCTTGTACATAAGGAAGACACTTTTAACTTTTTAATATATATATTTTTTTGTAATTATGAAAGAGAATAATATATCAACACAGAAAAAAAAAACCCAAATCAAAACATGATTGATATTTGTGTTTATTAATTAAAAATTAAATCCACATTCACTAATATAAATGATAGTAATTTTTATGTCTTAATTAAGTTATTCAGAATTTAAAATTAGTAGAGTGTCAATTAGAAATATAGTACTATTTAACTTCTAAAACGGTGAAATTAATAATTATTATATATAATCAAAATTTAAAATAAATTATATATAAATAAATATCAT